GAAAACATCATCCGATACCGACATCATCATGCATTTCATTTCATTAAATATTATATGCATATGAACCATGAACTTTAGTCATGAATTCCTTTGCTACAACCGTAGCTGCTCATTTGCCACCCACACAGTCCAGTGATCATCACAATACACAACATTCAATCTCACCTTCTCACATTCATTTGTCACCACCCTCATTTCACCTCCACATACATCTCACAGAATAAATAGAAAAATAATATGGTACGAGAATATCCAATTGTTGGAGTAGCAAGCAGCAACGAGGACTATGTTTTTTCCTCCTCTTCTCTCTCAATGCACTCAATTTTTCCACAACTTTTTTTTTTCTTTTTCTTCCTTTAGTGAATTTTCCTATTCAGTTGAGTTTGGAAATTCATTCGGAAAAGTGTGGTGTTTTGTTCTCTACTTTATTTCCACGTTGCCTTTTTTTGACTTTGCACACAGAAAATAAAATACATATTCTTTTCATTTTGACTCACATTTTTTTTTGTATTTCTGTTAACATCAACGTGAAAAATAAAGGAAATAAAAGGATAACAATGGGAAAATTTCATTGAAAAAGGTGTGAAAAAGGTGAAGCATAAGAGAATAATAGGAAAGAATTGTGTATTTCAATGTTTTTTCAATATTAAACGAACTGAGAGGATCAATCTACAGCACAAGAAGCTTTAAAACCGGGAGATGAAATTAGTACTTAAAAAACTAGGTGTGTTCAGCATAAAATTCTCTTTTTTACACACTTTTGAGCTACAATGTCCATCCTGATTTTCTGCTTCATGCAAAGCATGTCATGCCGTACAGCAGAAGGAAGCAAAATTCAATAACATTAGCATTTAAAAAAAAAGAATAATTAACATGCAAAGGCACCGTAAAACTTGTTTGAATTTTAAAATTGGAAGGTCAAAAACTAGCAGACAAGGAACTACTCTCTGCACATGCACTCACTAGCAATTGATTAACTTTTCATTCTTCCTTCTTCTTCTCTTTGTGTATATATATATATTTTGAAATCATCGCAGAAATAAATATGTCTGCGCAATAAAATGTGTGTGTAGTTGTGGATGGGATATTTCTAGCGCACTTTCCCCAAAAAATATAATAAAATGTGATACATTCAGACAGATAACTGGCTGAATTGTGTGCTTAATTTTCTGGTTCGATAAATCGTTTCTAAGGGATGTAGATGTGATAATAATAAGGTATATTTGGATTTAAAACCGTTAAAAATTCAAAATTTAATCTAAATCCTTTGAATTTCAAAAAACCGTCAAAATTTTAATTCAAAAAAAGTTTTTCAAACAACTTTCTAATGCTTCCAGATACATAATATTACTATTGTTGCTGCACAAAAAAAATTATTGCTCGTCCGTTTTTTAAAAAATGTCTATAATTTTATTTTATTTCCTATTCTGCAAAAAGATTTATTTGTTTTTGAAGAAAAGAGAAATTTATGGCTAAAAAGTAACGATAATTGTTCATTATGAATAAGGCAGGCTTCTAACTTATTTTTGAATTATGGATTTGAGGCTTATCTCTGCTTGTTTTTACTTGAATGATTTTGAAAAATTTATTATCTGTAATGCTTTGAATCATGGATTTATTTATATTGAATGGTTGTTAAGGCTTTTACTGGAGATTTCATGTTGCGTGTCAGATTTACAGAAAATATTATGACAGGATTAATCGGAGAATTGAGAAATGGTTGTTACGAGGTTCTTTTGGGAATAAAAAGAGAGTTTAAAACTTTTGTAGAAGGTTAGGAGGGGGAGGGGGGATTGAAAAATAAAAGTTTACGCAGTTTGATGTTTAAAAGCTTTAAAAAGTTTTTTGTGATAGCTCTTAAAATTCAAATTTGAATAATTATGGTAAATTCAAATTTTAACTCAAATATTTATTAATAAACTACACGTTTAGATGATTTAACATAGACTTTAAAGTGAGGGGGATAAGGGGCTGAATTTACATCATTTGTAACTCAAAACTAATATTTTTTTCATACAAACTTTGTAACAGGAGTAAAGAGATGCTCGCAAAATGCTCAAAAACTATTTCACCAGCAACATCGAGATAGAACTCAAAACTGTCCGACGTTAAAGCATCTTAATCTACAAAATGGCTACTTTCAAATGAGTTCTTATCAAATATACAATATAAACTCCTCAGCAGCATATCCAAAAACTTAAAAATGGAATTACTTAACCCTTAAATTACCATTAATGCTACAAAAACACTCTCTTTGAACCTCAATAAATTAATTCAAGGATCTTTTAAGCTACAACGCGCAATTTTCTTTTGGGATTTGCAAAGTTTGTTTTAAAATCATTTTAGCAACCGAATCACGTTTGTTGAGAGTTTGAATGCTCTGATTTAGCTGAGATGAGTGCAAATAATAAAAGAGTTCTCGATTAAAATTTCAAAAGCATAAAAAAAAATCCCCTAAAAGTTTAAACAATTTTTTGCTTCTTCTTTCAATTAAACGTGGAATGAAAACATAAAAAAAGGAAAAATTTCTCATTGAGATTGTTTGAAAGTATTTTTGTACATACACGCGAATGAAATTTATGAACTCGAAAAGTATGAATAAGTTGAATATTTCGAATGAAGTCAGGTGAAGAATATTTGATGTAATGGAAATTCTGTAATAAATTTATTGATGCTGTAATAAATGTGTCTCTAAGGCGCAGTTATGTTCATTTTTAAAGAATGTCAGTTAAAGTCAACGACATTTAAAAATTTAAATTTTAGGTTCAAACATTCAGTTCTCAAAAATTCAAATAATTAAAATTCGTTAAAAATCTATCAAATTGAAACATAATTATTTCAAAATGTCACACGCATCAAACAAAAAAGAATTAATAACTGTAACATAACCCACAAGATGATTATCAAAAAAGCTACAAAAAATTTTAAAGCATCAAGAACATCAAGAAAAATGAAAAATGGAAAATTTTTCCTGCTGAGTAACGAGCAAAATTCATTTTAATGTAATTTTATTTATTCCATTCATGTGTCTCTTGAGAATGCAACGAATTTATATATTTTTTTTTTCATCTTTGTATAAAAAATTTAAAGATTCAAACATAAAAAATGCATGGCGTGAGAATTTTTCATCCTCTACAAGGATCAATATCTGAACTTAATGTTCTCGAATAGATTGAGAAAATGGCAAGGCAAAAAAAAATTCATTTTTGATAAGTTATTCGGAAAATTACTTTTTCTCCTTCTTGCTCCATTTCCATTTCATTTAAGCTTCCTTCAATCTCTTTTTCTTTCTCTTAACGATTACTGATTTTTCTGTTCATACATTTATTTCTTATACTGTCAAGGGGGTCAATTATAAGTGGTGTTCAATATTTTAACAAGAATGGAGGATTGTAGAGCTAAGTGACACTATATGTATTTCATCTGATTTCACTAGCTACTAGTAATATTAGCTCCTTGCTTTACTAGTTACTTGTTATACTAGCTACAAGTTATAATCTAGTAGTAGACACACTATTAACTAGTTATAATAATTATGCTAGCTTCCAGCTATACTAGCTACTAGTTATAGTAGCTACTATCTTCACTAGCTACTATTAACACTAGCTTCATATCAAATTTCATCTAAGTTTGTCTAAAATTATCATTTTTAATGGACACCATTCACAAACGACCCCTTACATGTCGATAGAATTGGAATAATGACAGAAGAAGAAAAATATTTTTATTGAAGATGAAAATAGCAAAGGGAAAATAACTTTTGAGAATTCATTGCTATGCTGTGTGATAAAAAATTGCTCATGTCATGCTTCTTTGATTATTGATTATCAGCCTTATTTATATTAGCTTGGATACATATTGCATTCATGAATAAGATATGAACAAACTTTTTCTTCTTTGGGGGTTTATTTTAAGAAGGAAAAAAAATCTTAAAGGTTATTGTGCAGATAATTAGATAGAAAGTCGATGATAGAACTTTTCAACACAAACAATTTCGTAGAAATCTTGTCAAGGATAAACATCCAATTTTATCATGAACTTGCTTAGTTACATAATGTTTAGCGTCAGATAACACTGAAAATAATTCCGAACTCGTTAATTCAATAATTCATCATGAATTTTGTGGGGTTGTGAGTAAAATTGTCTTCAAAACTTGACATGTTGTTTTAATTTTAAATTACGATGAAATTGGAACTCGAGGAAAATGAAAAAGTGGTTGAGCGAAAAATGTATGCTTGATGAAAACGATTCCGTGGTATTTTACATAGAAAATGTGGTTTTGATATTAAACCCACTGAAATGTTTGTGGTTTTTATAATTACAAATTTTATTCTTACAATATTGTAGACAATGAGGAACTTATATTTTGTGTTAAAGATTTTGTTTAAATATTATAATGATATTTTAGACATTTTGGGGTTCAAAATGTTATTAATTGATTTTCTTGAGCAAAGAAGTTTATTCGCTGAAGATATCTGAGAAGGATTCAAGGGTTAAATGTAGGTCTTTACATTTTCAATTCTAGGCATTAATATATTGGGTAGCTTAAGACACTGGTCTCTGCTATCAGTAGATAGTGCAGTAAAACAGTCAAATTTCAAAAAGAAAATGTCCAAAACTTTGCAAACAATCAAAACAAACAATTATTGGCTAAATATTCCAATCTTGACCCAACTTAAAGCTTCATCCATACATTTATTGCCTTGTTTATCAGAAATAATATCCATCGAAATGAATCCACTAAAAAGAAGTCTTAATCGCTCTTTTCTTCGATCCCGTATATTATCAATTCAAAGTAATGATTTCCGCAATTTGAGCTTCAGAAATGCCGAAAATAATATAACATGATAAAAGTCCTACATACATAATGAAACAAAGAATTATGAAAATCTCACAAGAATAAGAATAAGAACAAAAATATGCAATCAAAAACCAAAACAGACCATCAAGTAAAAGTAATCTTACTTAATCTTCTTTTTCCTCTTTCTTTCTCTTTACAGCATAAAAATCCAAGAAAATAAAAGTGAAACATCAAATTCATAAGGATAAAAAAGGCTAAAGAGACGAAAAAATAAGAATAAAATCGGAAATTTCGAGACCTGCGCTTATTAAGCAAAATAAAAGGATAATAATTATAAATCACATTGAAATTACCATTGCATAAAGAAGTACACATCCATAAATAAAAGTTCATTTCAATTGGCTCAACGCAATACCTGATTTATACATCCCATCAGCCCCAGGACAATCAAAAGCATTAAAGTATATAAACATATATACTCATTCACATTACACGCAGCATAAAGATAGCAGTCATAAAAGCGACCAAAAAAAGTGATTTGAATTATTTTTTAAATAAAAAAGTCCATCCAAACTTTTAATCTTACACAAGACAGTAGTAGAAAAAAAAGCAGCAAAAATGATCGCAAATGGAATAGATGCAGTAAATACGAACGGTCGTTCTGGTTCGATTGGTAGCGGAACTGATGAAACCAGTAAGACAAATTTAATCGTCAACTATCTACCACAAACGATGTCACAAGAGGAAGTAAAGGCACTGTTCAGTAGCATTGGTGAAGTTGAGTCGTGTAAATTAATACGCGATAAAGTGACTGGACAATCGTTGGGCTATGGCTTCGTTAACTATCAACGTGCAGAAGATGCTGATAAGGCAATAAATACATTTAATGGTTTACGTTTGCAAAATAAGACAATTAAAGTTTCATTTGCTCGTCCAAGTTCCGATGCCATTAAGGGTGCTAATCTTTATGTATCGGGGCTTCCAAAAAATATGACCCAACAAGACTTGGAGAGTCTGTTCACATCATATGGACAAATTATTACTTCTCGCATTCTATGTGATAATATAACAGGTAATATGGCATCGATGATATCGAACTGACCAGAAAGATTTGAGATTTAATTCAAGATCAATATTGATTGCTAAGCAGCTATTGTCCCTGGAGCTTGATTTTATAATAATTTTAATTTCTAGCATCTTTCTGATCAGTTCAATTATTTCTATTAAGAACTTTTTCGAACTAATTAATATTCTGATAGCATATCCACCATTTTATCGCCACAATTTGGCAAATAACTGCCAGAGTCGATAAAAATAAAGCTGATTTGATGATAAAGCTCGAAAAAATTCTTAATAGCTCTTTACAAGATTTTTATTGAGCAATAAAATTTAGATTCAGATACATCTTCTGTTTTAGGCCTATCAAAAGGTGTTGGCTTCATTCGTTTCGACCAAAGAACTGAAGCAGAGCGAGCCATTCAGGCATTAAACGGTACAACGCCAAAGTTGTGTTCGGAGCCAATAACTGTAAAATTTGCAAATAATCCAAGCAATAATATAAATAAGGCAATTCCACCATTAGCTGCTGCATATTTGGCTCCTGCCGCAGCTGCAGCTGCCAATTTACGACGCTTCCCAACTGGTCCAATTCATCACATCGGCGGACGTTTTCGCTACTCACCATTAACTGGTGACTTAAGTAGTACTGTATTGTCTGCAAATGCCATTAATGGATCAGGTTTGTGCGAAAGCAAAAGTATGTCTCTTATTCCTAAAACTTAAAATAATTTACGTGATTTATTTTTTCTCACAATGTTGATTAACATTTTCTAGGTTGGTGTATATTCGTATACAATCTCGCACCTGAAACCGAGGAGAATGTGCTGTGGCAATTGTTTGGGTAATTAAAAATATATATATTTATTTATTTTTTCATTCCTTCACATTACCGAAAAAAATGTTTCGATTCATTAAAATTCCTTTATTTCCACAATTATACAGACCATTCGGCGCAGTCCAGAGTGTAAAAGTAATAAAAGATTTGCAGACAAATAAATGCAAAGGATTCGGTTTTGTGACAATGACAAATTATGACGAAGCAGTTGTCGCTATTCAATCACTCAACGGATACACACTAGGCAATCGTGTTTTGCAAGTCAGCTTCAAAACAAATAATTCAAAGTCTAAAAACAATTAAGATTTATTGAATCCTTTAATTTTGAATTTTATTTGAAAAACGATGAAGAAATAATGAATTTTTGTCTCTATTTCTCTCTTAATAACTCACTCACTCTCCTTTTTCTATATGATATATTTCTATTTCTCTTTATAAATGTCCATATTTGCTTAGTTAAATTTAAAAAAGAGTTACATGAGGAAAAAAAAAATTGAATGAAAAAAATTTTGTGGCACAAATTTTCTTTTTTAAATTAAAGTTGTATTAAAATTTTCTGATGCTTTAATGGAATGTTCAGTGTTGGGTTGAACAATATTCATCCCAGACTGTAACATCCCGGTTAATTCTGTGTAGTTCGAAGAATGTTTAGTTCACTAGGATAAATTCAAGTCTAAATAAGAAAAAAATTTATATAGAATATGAGAATATTCATATTTGTGGTGGATAATGAAAGTATGAAAGAGATAAAAAAATGAATTTTTTAAAAATGTGAAAAAATGGAGTTTTATAGTAAAGAATACAGAATTTTCCTTAAGTTTGCATTCAAATAATTGTTCCTTTAATTTATTCATAAAAAAATTAAATTCATCGAAGCAGAAAGTTTGGAAGCTTAAAATGCAAATTCACACGCCTCATCAAGTTCACAGACCATAAAGACTCAATTGTGGGCATTTTGTGTATGCGACAAAAAAATAATTTTTTATAACAATGAAAAAAAAAATCTTTAAATGTTGATAAAAAAAAGTTAAAGGAAAAAAAACATAATTATCGTATTTTCGTGAGTATATGAAATAATTAAATTTAAAAAAAGCTATAGAATGGAAACTTTTTGTGGCGTTAATGAAAAGTTAATCGTAATGAATATATTCAGTGTTTTTTAAAAGAAAAAAAATTAAGCTTTCATAAAAAAATAGATTATTTGTAGACAAGAAAGAAAGTTTGCTGTAATTTTGATCGTTTTTTTATTCCTCTAATACATACACACACACAAACAATCGTTCATATAAATAGTAAACAACCTATTATTGATGAAGAAGAAGTGTTAAAGTACTAAGTTACTCATTAAATATTTAAATATTGTATTGAATATTATTAACCAGACACAAAACTTTGTCAACAAATGCTCAAATTTTTATGTGCAATATTATCATTATAGAGGAACTAAAGGGAAAAAAATCTATAATTCATGAGAATTGTCGCGTACACAGAACCGTCCACAATGAATAAAAAAAACGTTGATTTCAACACACTTTAATTTTCATTCAATATTCTATAATTTAATTAAAATTTCGTTCGTTCACATGACTATACATAGCAAGGGATGGACATTCTCTCATTTTGAGTATTCTCATTAGTTGTGATGATGTTCATTCCTTGATACACACATAGATGCGCAAAATGAAAGATGAAATATACAAAAATAAAAGCATTCGTCATATTTATATTAAAGGAAAAATATATTTTGTCATTGTATAATCATCAATATATTCTCAATGATATTCATAAATTATTAAAGGTGAAGAAAAAAAAAACAAAAAAATATCATTGTACTCCTCAATTAATTGAAATGGAAGTTTAACTTTAACAAACAAATGATATTTATTACTGTATATTTATGTGCAAGAAAAATTTAACTTAAAAAAATCTCTCACATACACAACCCACAAAAAACACACAAGATTTTTCTTAAAAAAAATAATCAATATGAACCAAAAAAATATAAATATGAATTTCATTTTATTCGTTAATTTTTTTCTTCTTAATTCATTAATATTTATAATATATTGATATTATGCATTCATTAATTGAATTGAATTGAATTAATATCTATTTAAATTTTTAAACGTTTCAAAGTTTGAATTTTTTACTTAGAATAGATACAAAAGACGTTTGATTTTTGACTTTTATTCGAATTGATGGGAAAAGTTTTGTAACGAATTTCAAAAATTCGAATTCTGTTAATCTGATGCAAAAGAATGAAGCAGAAAGTTTTGGAAGTTTATATAAAAGATGCAAAAAACTTAAACCTTTTTGCATCTTTTGTAGGTTAAGATGCAAAAATAATATATTAGTTAAAAATGACGCAAAAAGAGACGCAAAAACTTTCCCATCAATTCTAAAGAAGCGAAAATGTTAAAATAAAAATTATTCAACTTTTTTATGCTTACAATATATTTCTTAATTTTCCTTTTCAACTTATCGGATAATTAATTAATCGTCATATAAACAATATGAAAGAAGAAAAAAATAAGAAATTTAATAGTAATTATTGTAGTTTAAAAACTTTTAAATTATAATCCCCGTTTTTATTATATGTCTTTGTATGTTTTTTGGCTGTTTTTAAATGAATACATAAAATGATATGTGAATTGAAATTTTTTTTGTCTCATCTTCGTTTTGACATTTTTCAATTATCACGCACAATAAAGTCGCGCGTATTTATTTTTTGTCTTAAATTTAACCATTTTTTTCCTAGCTGAAGAGAAAATTAAATGAAAAAAAAAACAAAACCAGAAAAGATACGTGGTATAAGGAAACAGAAATGAGTATTAAATTTAATAATAAAAAATGAATATTTAAAGAGAAAAAAAATTAGAGAAAAATTTGTAAAATAAATTCATTTTTGATTGTTACATAAGAAAAAAAAATGTTTATTTTAATCTGCAAAAAAGATTAAAATGGATGAAGTAAAAAAAATCTTGAAGAACGAAAACAAAAAAAGAAATTTTCATTTCGCTTTGAATTTTTTTAACATGAAATTTTTCATTTTCAAACATGTTCTGTACGAAGACGAATTTGTGCATAGATAAAGCAAGAAAAATGATGGAACTTTAGCGATACACAACATGATAAATGACAATTTACGTTGCATTTGCAAAACAAATCATCGAACGAAAAATGAATGAAGCATTTTCATTTAAAGAGAAAATACCAAATGTTAGGGGTGCAGTCAGGAGTTGTTGGGGGGTTGAAATCGTAATTCAGTATTTTTTATGAGAGAATCATTATCTTGGAGCTAGTCGCTTGGGCTACCTGATTCACTCTACCTAAGAATTGGGTTAACATGAAATATAAATGCAACTATGGAAGCTGAAAGCTGATTCCTAATGATTTCCAGTAAAATTATCACCAGCCCCACACCCTTCTCTAAATGCACCTCTGATAAAACTTGAATAAATATTTTATGAAGCATTTTCTTTCTCATTTATGTAATCATCACACATAGACAGACAGAAGATAATGATTTATTGAAATAACATGATGAAATTTATCTGCTCTTCTCTATGGATTATGTTCATACAATTCTCTTTCTTTCTTTCCATTTTTTTTCGGTTGTCTGTTCATACACAAAGCATATACGAGCAACATAATGAAATACAACAAGACAAGAAGAAATAAATTATTGCCTCATGAATATGGAAATTAAAACCACCTTTCATCTCAAACAAAAAAAAAACACGAATAGTAAAAATTTTTCCTCTCTCCCTACTTCAAAAAAAATATATATGAGAAAACGAGTAAATAATATTAAAGAATCTGATCAATATGAGACTGCTTTTATGACGAAAAAAAAAAAACATAAAATAAATATTAAAAAAATCGTATTTTAAAGTAACACAAAATGACACAAAAATTCATCATCATACATTCTTTTCGAAACACAAGTGAAACAAACTTAAAAAGGTGATATATTAAGAAAAAAATTGAGAATTGTTATTGTTAAGGGAACGGCATTGGATGATTGGGAACAAAAAAAAAATATGGAAAAAAATTGTATGAAAGATACTCACAGAAAAGTGTGTTCAAGTATTTTAAAAGGATCATAAAAAAAATTAGCAAAATTTTTCTCTTGAATATCATGCATGAGTTTTTAGACGAATAAAAAAAATATGCTGGGTTTATGTGCAATATATAAAAGGATGATAAAATATGTCAGAACTTGTGGAATATTTTGTTATGTGTAGAAAAAAATTTTAATACCTGTGGTTGTATAAAAAGATTCTTTCGCAATGATAAATTCAAACTCGTTCATCACATCCTTGAACTCAAAATGAATTATACTTCAATCCATCAAGCACTCTTGGTAAAGAGTTTTTTGAAATTAATTAAATGTGACGAAGATTATCTCTTTTATGGAATTAACTTTGAAGACTTTGAGTTTTATAATTAAAATTTGAAACAAAATCACTGCTTTTGGAGGAAGATGGAGATTTGAGGTTATGATTTTTCAAAGCACTTGGAGTCAAATGAAATTTTTTTATTTGAAAACAATGGAAAATCATTTAATTGGAATGTTAGTGATTCTAATCTTTCATGCATGCGAGGTTGTTCTATGAACTGATTCATAGAAACAGCAAGATGTTGACTTATCTAAAATTTATTTCTCATTTTAAAGTATGACATTTTTTGCTTTTGGATCAAAGACACTCATCTTTAAACATTCATGATTCTAAGAATTTAACAATTTTTCCAACTTTGAACATGTAATGCGATGATTTGAAGCTTGAAACTCAATTCGTCATGTAATTCAGTCAGCAAATTTATAAGATCAAAAAGTCATTTTACAGATGATTTCTTGAAATCTAAGTTTAATTTCGATTTAGATCAGTGGAAATCAAAAGATTTATATATTTTTGTTTCTCGAATATCCTCCAGAACCTGATAGAATCTTTCAGTAAAGGAATAATGCTTCTAGAGTTCTCATGAATAATTCTATGTCAACAATGGCGGTTCCTTTATTTGAAAAGTTGAATTACTTTTAGGAATGATTTTCTATCTGAAAAGTATGCAAAATACCACACATGTCGAGAAATTTCAAAAATTATGAAACATAAGAACAGATCTAAGCTCTTATGTTAAAAGAATAACATCATGAACCAAAACCTCATCCCTCAAATCACAAATCATGTTGAACTCGACAAATAATTCCTCTTAGACAACCATCAAGTATTAAAAACCTCAAACATGAGCAATTTAATTTCCACTATCTGACATAATAAAAGAATGTTTAGGCAATTTCACCTCCTATTACTTTAATTATATAAATTTTTCTCCTCATTTTTCTTATTGAAGCATATTTTTAATTAATTTGAGAGAGTAAAAAATCAAAACTTACCACCTTTCCTGCTTCTTAGCACGAAGGTATAAAACTGAAAATAAAGGAATGATGTGGAAAAAAAGAAATGAAATGTTAGTGAGGATCTAAGATAAGAATAAAATCTATCAAAAAAACATAAATATAATTTAGACAAATTATGATGAAAATTACCGAAATATCTAATGACAAATCGTCCATCCAAAAAAAAACAAAGTTATAAGAGATACTATATAGATGTCTTTGAAAAACATAAAAAGCAACTGATACAACAACTAGATTTTATTCATCAATCGAGATTGAATATTTTAACTCAAACAAAAATAAAAGATAAAAAGAATCTACAAAGTAACTTAATTAAGTGAGGAAGTGACATGTAAGATGTATTTATATGTGCGTACATTCAAGAATCAAATAAGACAAGAAATAACGTAAAAAAGACGTAGTAAAATGATATGAAAAAAGCTTTCTTCCAATTTTTATATGATGAAAAAAAAAAATAAAACTTAATAACAGAAGTAAGTTAATAAAATAAAGATTAAAAAAAATATTTTGTAAATAGGAGAAATTGAAAATTTCGTAAAAATAATGAAAATTAAGGAAAATAAAAATTCGAGGAACTGAAAGTTCTTAATAAAAATGCAATAACCAATGTAACAATTATGGATTTAGTGAATGAGCAATACAATGAAGGAACTAAATATCATGAAAAATCATCTCAAAACTTAAGAGACAGAATCGACGCAAAAAAATGGTTGAATTATCATCACTAGGTGATGTAAATCTGCCTTCATTGAATGAACAAAACAAAATTCTTCTTCGGTGCTTTATAATCTGCAAAAAATGTCAAAGTTCACTCCAGTAAAATCATAAAGCTTCTTGGGACGAAAACATAATCTTAACACACAAAACAAAAATCGTCAAATTTCGAACGGAAATAGATTTTTTTTTCCATCATGAAAATTTTAAACAAGTAAGGTTTTATGGTTTTAGGCTGTGAATAAATTTATTTTCTTTTCTGCCCTCTATGTGTATGTTGCTGAGATACTTTCGATCCCATCTTCTATGCAGGTGAAAATTTCTTAACAAAGAATTATCTCTTAAATCTTCTCGTCGCTTTAAGCTAAAGGAACATTTTTGTTTTGCAACATACCATCCAATATTCAAGCTCCTCTGAATAAAATAAGAACATCTGCTATTGTAATCAGTTTTTTCCTAATTCCATAAGTTTCCTAATCTAAATTCATTCACATTGTTCACATTAATGCATTTTTTAACTAAGGCATTACACCAAAAAAATTTTAATTCATTAAGACAAAATGTTAGGATGAAAAAAAATTAAGGACAGAAATTTAGCAAAATTAACAAATTAATTTCCATCAAGTAACACGAAAAGAAAAAAAGTGAAAATTGCAAATAAGAATCAACCGAAAAATACAGGGTTGTTCATGTCTCTTGAAGAAAGATGATAATACAAAAACACATATTACAAATCGAAACTACAGTAACTGCAGCACAAAAAAATTATGAAATATTAATTTTTAAAAACTTAAAAAAAAATAAATACGAAAAAAATGATAATAAGAATTGAGTGACAAAATTTGAGAATCTTGTAGAGTGGAAATTTA